TGGGTTACTAAGGAAAAAACCATTTCACCACTCTTGCACTATTTCCTTAATCTATGGTCTTTCTGAGCTCTAAAGTCTATGATTCTTTTAAGTACATGTCCTCCATGGTAACATCTTAGTTTTCCTAGTAACATATTATTCCAGTAATTCTAAAATATCCATGAGTCATGGTATGGTATTAATCAGTCAAAAAAGAATAGAGGATTCCGTTATGTTGAGTGGCCATCTCAAGATCTTAAAAGGTAGTCTTGTCCTGGGATGCCTGGGTAGCTCAACTGGTTGAGTGTCTGAGTGTCAGGCTTTGACTCAGGTCATGATCTTGCAGTTCATGAATTTGAGCCCTGCACCGGACTTGCTATTCTCAGCACAGAGCTCCCTTCAGATCTTCTGTCCCTCTCTCCTTCTGTCTCTCCCTGGCTTGTGCACATTCTCTCTCTCTCTCTCTCTCAAAAATAAAAATAAAATAAATTTAAAAACTAAAAAAAAAGTAGTCTTGTCCTTAAGCACACACATAAACCAGTAATTTTTAAGAAAACCTATATAGGCACAAAGCTAGAATATAAAAAAGAAATGAAAGCAACATCTGTGCAGTTATTCAGATAATGGTATCAAAGGGGGCAGGGCGCTTGGGTGGCTCAGTCGGTTAAGCCTCTGACTTGATATTGGCCCAGGTCAAATGATCTCCCAGGCATGTGACTGAACCATGTCACGCTCAGCAGTGAGCATGGAGCCTGCTTAGTATTCTCTCTCTCCCTCTCTCTCTCTCTCTCTCTCTGCAACACCCCCTCCCCTCAAAATAAATAACAAATAAACATTAAAAAAAAAAAAGCAGACAATGGTATCAATGAAGTGCTACTGGAGAAGACCATGACCACTCTGGATTTCAAACACAAGGCAGTCCCAAAACCAAAAATGATGTACATTCAGTTTGTTGTTGTCTTTGACATACACCATTCCTGATGCTTTAGATTTCCTCTTGGGGTAGAGTTCCATAAAGCCTAATAATCTAGGTATTAATCATATTTTTGCTGGGCTTTGGGAAGAAAGTAAGTATCACTGCAGAGCTCATTGAAAGGTACCAAGTCTGTACACCAGTCTACCATAAAGAAGTGTAATATGCAATCAAAGACAGCACCAGCAATACCAAAGTTAAAGCAATTACCCAAATGTGGCTACCTAGGCAACAGGCCATTAAACAAGTCAAACTGAGGGGTAAGGGGGAGGTGGTAATGAGCATACCTTTTCACTGCAACTGCAAGCAGACAAAAGGGTGCATGTTCAATTAATGCTCGTCTGAGTGTCACCTATGTACCTAGCACTGCGCTGGAGTCTATGGGAGACAAAAAGGCAGTATTGTCCACCCACCCTGTAAGATAAGGCACCCACAAATGAAACTTTCAGATAACAAGATAAGTCAGCGTCAATCTGTGTTCTGCTAATAATAAATTAGCTAATAATAAATCCTATCAGAACTTAGACAAGACAGAATACAACAATAGAAAGGGATTAAGAGCCAGGAATCACACAAATTAAGATTCTGACGAGGACTTCTTGAATCCACCTCCATCTAAAGACATTTCAGATGTCATTAACCACAAACATAACCTAATAAGTCACCTCCCTCAGTTCCCATTAGGCGTGTTTGCTCATCTGTAAAGTGAGGAAGTTATTCAAAGAGGAGTCATAGGTCACAGTCTCTAACCTGAAATGGACCTTAGAGGTGAGAGAGTGATCAAGACTGAAATTCAGCTGCAAAACTGCATAAACATTTAGTAGAGATACTCAGAATACTGGCATAAGAGCAGTGGAGTATTTGTCCTGGGATGGCTCTGCGAAACCCAATTAAAGAATTGCGACTTGCTTCTGTATCTGGTAATGTAACCTCTGTTAAAACTATCAGGTTAAACGGAAATGTTATGACTGCTAAAGAACTCTAATGTGCAAAATAGAGAGACATAGTCGCAAACTCTAACAGTCTAATGACAGACTTAAGCAAGAGATTTAGTAATTCAGTATAGCCACTGACGACTAGGAAATGTCAACAGTCAGGCTTTCATAACCAGAGGTGAGACCGTTTGATTTAGCAAAGGAATTACCCAGCTCCCAATGAAAGGCAGTTCCCCCTCAAAGAACCATCCCTGAAAATAGCAACCACCTTCACTAACCACACAGAAAGGCATGCACCAAACATTTTACATCAGTCTGAGTTACAGTCACAAGCTGGGGAGCAATAACAGGCTCTTCACACAGGAAAGGAAAAACTACACTAGATGGTGCTAAATATATTGAATAAGCCCCTGCACTCTTATTTCTATGTACTCAGTTGAATGATCTTTTAATGAGGAAAGTGGGAAGGGGACACATGTTTCATAACTTCTAAAACACATTTGCCAATGGGCTGAACCATATTGTTTTGGACCTCTTCGGTAAACTTGGAAAAGATTTCACACGCATGCCTCTCAAGCAAAAAATGAACCGGTGCCGTAACTGGTTATGTCCCCCTGGCTCTAATTTACTGCACCTACTACAGCAGAACAAAAGTGGCACAAGCTGGGTTTGTGATCCGTCCAATGCAGAGTGCCATCTGCTGCACACACACAGGATATCTCCAAGGCAAGATTCAACCTTAGTGTCTCTCAGAGACCTTTCCAAGAGCAAGCTGTTTGCTCCCATATTTGCCTACTACATTCATCCTCAAACAACATCCACTTACAGGAACATTCCCATCCATGGGATTTTAAAACGCCAATACTTTCCTAACAATAGCTAGTTTTATAAAGGAGGAATAGACCACGAAGGAGCAATAGCACCTTATAATGAAAAAAACACAAGAACGGGGTCAGAATATCCAGGGTGGGTGGGAGTTCTAAAACTGCTGCCTATTAGCTTTGTAATCCTGGCCAAGTTTCTCCCCTTTTCTGGGCCTCAATTTCAGTCATACAATGTCAAGAGTTAAACACATCTCCAAGAGATACCTTTCAAATTGAGTCTTGTGAGAGATCATAGAATAACAGATGGAGACAGCTATATACAGGACGGCTTCAGAACAATCGTAGAAAAAGGAAAAAAAAGGCCTGTTTACATATTTTAAATAATCAGATACAATTTTTTTCAAGAGTGTACACTTCTAAGTTCGTTTACAAGTCAACATTCCCATGATAACACTTCAGCCCTTCAGAAATAACACTTCACTTTAACTGTGCTTTCAGTTACAAATTCAGCACATCACTTTTACCCACCCCAGAATAGCACAGAAGAACACTTTCATGAAGTACCCACACAAGGAAGGCACTCACAGCCTGACAGATTCGCATAGTGGAAAATATACAAGGCACAAATTTAAAAATGCTAAATGAATACCACACCCAAATAGCCTTAAAAACAAACTGTGCGAAGTCAAAAGACGTATTAGCAAAATACAGCGATAAAGACAACTTGAGAGGTCTTTAAATAGTTTGAGGCAGAGGGAATGCAATCAGATTTTTGGGTGGCTTCACGTTTTGAGGAAAACAAAACACTTAAATGGAGGCTATGAAACATGCAAATCTAAACTGAACTGTGGAAAAGCTCGGCTCTCACCCAAAAGCTTCAGCAAAGCAATATGTCAGTATGCCAAATATGAAGTACAATTTTCCTCACAAGAATGAGGATAGGATCCATACATATGACTAATAATAACGATATCATCTTGCATTCACAGAGCATCAGTTCTTTTCATAGCTCTTTTAGACACTTGACTTTATGCTGTCATCAGTCTTGGGGTATCCTCTCTGAAAACCTCCAGTCCAGTTTCCTCTCCAGAGCTATGTGATCACAATAAGACAAGAGGATGATATTTGTTAACACAGGTGGATGTATGTGTTGACATCGGAAGGTACTAGTTTCTTCTAGCAGGCTGTCTGCAGTGATTCTCTCATTACCACACCACACAACTTAGCTCTAGGAAACAAAACCCACACTCTTTCTCCCTCAGTTGGCCAAAGACCAACACAAATGGGTCAGGAAAGTCCAAGGAAAGAGAACCCATTGACTTGTTAGGTCAAAAACTCCAGGCCAAGTTGATCTCTTGCAACTGAAAAAAGAAATGACAATCACTCACAAACACACCCCAGGGCTGTTCAAATAGAAACTCTCCTTCGTTGCCAGCCAATGAAATCCAGCAATAACTGGTTAATTCAACCACCAAATCCCTGCCTCTGTGAACAACTTGCCATATCCACTTCCCCTCCGCCCGCGGCCCATCCTTCCTTCTCCAGGCACGCGTGAACAAGCCGATAAAGCAGCCCTCCAAAAAGACCACCGAGGACCTTTAAGGACCTCAGGGGATGGAGCTTGCTTGCTCCTGAAGCAATGCAGCATCCTTCGCGAGGGGGCTGGTCCCCGTGCCCACACACGCAGGAAGTCAGAGGGGGATAAAGTTTGATCATCCTTTCTTGCCCGTTCCCAAAGGGCCGAGAGAGGACGAGGGAGCGGTCCCGCTGGGGTCCTGGGCTGCCCTCCCGAGACAGTTCCCAGAAGCATGGCTGGCACTGCCACTCTCCTGACACATACACCAGGCAGCCGCGGCAACTCAGGACACCCCGACCCGCCCGGAGGAGGAGAGAAAGGGGACAACTTGCACGGGGCTCAGTTCGCGAGCGGTGGGGCAGAGCGGTTTCTTAAAAAAAGAAAAAAAAAAAAAAAAAGGAGGGAGGGACCGAGATAGGGGGCGAGTCAGAGACGGGTTCAAGTCCCTTCCCCGCCCTGGTGCCCCGGGTCCTGAGGGAACATCCCCGCCATCGCCCCTCCTCCTCCTCCACTCGGCTTCCTCCGCCCTCCCTCCCTTCCTGGTCGCCGCCGCAGGCGCCTGAAGGGCACGGCGGCTCCTCGGTGCCCGGCAAGCTCGGGAGCGGCAGCGAGTTGAGGGAACTCGCCTGCTGCCCCGGCGGCCTGCCCGCCGGCGGCTCCCACACGCCAGCGCCGCCCCGCCCTCCCCGGAGCCTCGGGGCGCGCTCGCTCACCGTCCGGTGGTGCTGCTGCTGCCGGTGGCGGCTGACGCCCAGCCCGGGGAAGCAGCCGGCAGTCAGCGCTCCGCAGCCGCCGGCGCCCCCGCCGCCGCCTCGGGAGGAGAGGAGCAGCAGGAGCGATCTACCTGCGGCGGCCGCCATCTCTCAACTGGAAACGGCGCCGACCCAGGCAGCGCAGCGGACGGCCGGGGCGGAGCTAAGGCCCGCCACTCACCCGCGCCGGACCAACTGCCGCCCTTGGCTGAGTTGAAGAGGCGGGGCTTCCTGCAAGGCCCAATCGACAGGCGGGAGAACCACACTTGAGGCTGCCTGTCACTTCCAGAGTTACCTATTGTGGGACATAGTCAATTACGGGCAAATTCTAAGGAACCGGTAATTGGCACCCGAACCCCTCAGAATAGCAGCAGTAGAGATGGCATATTCGATTTGGCTAATCTTCACCAAGGATAGAGCTATGGTAAAGGTAACTGGGGAAACATATTTGTGCTAAGCTTTCTACTTCGTGAGTGTTCTAAGTTGGCAAAATATGTACCAAATTAATAATCATTAAACTAGGGATGCCAGAACTCTCAATGACACGCCCAGAGTTACCATTCATACTGATGGCATTCGGATATGCTGGAATTAACCCTACATCATAGGGTGATCTAATGACTGTGATGTGTGGCATAGTATAGGAGAGGTAGAATGATTAGGATATCGAAGTCCCAGAATGAGTCCATGCCATCAGAGTGAATTAACAAGCCTATACAGATTTCAAATACCCTTCGTTTTTACACCATCTTTTAGACTGATACTCTTACATTCTCCAGAAGCAATAGTCTCCATTTTCTTACTATCTTTGACCTTGTGTGCACTTACTAAACTATGAAAGCAGAACATGTTGGTCATGTAATAAAAGTCATGTAAAGGGTATTTCAATGAATTTTCATAATTTAGCTAAACTAGTCATTAGGATACACTTTGGAATAATTCTTGATCACTTTCTCTTGAAAAATATTTATTTCCCCAAGAAAAAATACTATAATGAAACTCATTAAAGACTGTGAAATGAACACTTCCTTTAGAAGAAGATTCCCTTGCTATCTGTTGTTATAACCTGGTTAGACCTCACATCTTCTTTAAAAATCTTGAAACAAAAGACAGTTTGGTAAGCAGATAAAAAGTATTGCTCTCAGTTTTGGAAAACCTCTTGGTAGTGTAGCCTTAGGTGATCAAGCTGATCAAACAAACAAAAATACACCACACACAATGTTATTGTATCACTTGTTCTAATAATGTTTTTTAAAGTTTAACTGAAACAGTACTTAGTTGGTCAAGAATTGCTAAATGTGAAGTGGAGTTTTTGGTCTGTTTAATCCTTCCACCCCACTCTGGAAAGTAAAATGATTGGCTTCTCCGGGTGAGACCATCACACCACTCACCCAAAAGGCATTTATTGCCCAACAGTGGAACCTGAGAGCTCGAGAATGAGATTAGCCCCCCATTCAACAGCTGCACACACTAATCCCCCTAGTTGGAAATCTGTGACATTCCTGGAAGAACTTCACTTATAGTCATTTTCCGCCCATCTATATTTATCCCATGCTGTGCCATTCCCTTCTTCTTACTAGGATTACCATGGATTTTAGTTTTGTTTCTCTTTTCTGTGCCCTTGCCATGTCTGGCTACGAGTCAGGATAGTCCCACCACCTCCATCTTATACTTTGAAAAGTTCTACGGGAATTGTCTTTCTCCTGTTTTTCCAAGTATAGAAGTTGGACATGCATCCTGCAGTTGTGAGATTTAGTCCTGTGCATTTGAAAAGAACCAGAATAAATAGGGTTTTTTAAACTGCATCAACCTGAAACTAGAGGGACTACCCAAAGCTTTCTTCTTATTTACCAAAAGATTTTATCTTTTATCTACCAAGAGGAAACCATTGATGCACCCCAGATAGGCTGTGTAATTTGAGGATCCACTGACTGAAACGAGTTCTAATAACCCAGGGCTGGAAATGTCATCTCACAGAGAACATCTTTTTCATAGCTGCAAAGGATATAGCTCACATTAGCTAGCTGGCCAGGCCCCATAACAAAAAAGTGCAGAAAGCTCAACAGAAGGCATCCTCATACCTAGAAAATAAATAAATAATAAATTATATATGAAGAGAAGTTAACATATCACTGGAAATGGAGTTAATATTCATTGAGTACCTGATATGCCAGGCACTATGCGGATCACTTTTATAATACTTTTATAAAAGATGGCAGGGTAAGTACAAAAAAAATTAAAAAGTAACTTTTGGGGCACCTGGGTGGCTCAGTTGGTTAAGTGTCCGACTCGACTCTCGGTTTCAGCTCAGGTCATGATCTCGTGGTTTCATAAGTTCGAGCCCCACATTGAGCCCTGCATCGAGCTCTGTGCTGACAGTGTGGAGCCTGCTTGAGATTCTCTCTCTCCCTTGCTCTCTACCCCTCCCCCACTCATGCTGTCTCTGTCTCTCTCTCAAAAAAAAAAACTTTAAAAACATTGTAACTTTTGAGAATTAAAAAATTGCAGAAAACCTAAATGTTTTCCTATAGGGAATTGGTTAATAAATTGGAGACTAACCCTATTACAGAATATTATGTAACCATTAACCAAATGAATTGTCCCATCTATAAAGAAGTAATAATATAGTACAGATGAGCCTTTTAAAAGTTATTTATATACAGAATATATATATATAATATATATATAAACTAGATATATAATTCAGCTACATAGTGACTTCTGGAAGAATAAACAAGAAACATGTTAACTCTGGGGACTTTTGAGGGGGTAGCTACCCTTCCAAATGGTTCAAGATTTTCTCACGTGCATGTCATTTTTACCATTATAAAAACATGGTCACTGAAACCTATATGGCTACAGAGTTGTTTTCTGCGCCAGTCCTTAAAACAAGTTGGTCTTTTTTTAGCTAAAACTAATCAGAACAGATTTCCTGGAGCATGAAACCCTAACTGGGCTCCCTACAAAATGTACACTGAAGTCAGCTCCCAATTATGACTCAACTCAATGGACTATTTGCCTACAGGGATTCCAGAATAGCCAGGATAGGCGATACACACACTTCATTGACATGAGCAAGAAACCACAACAGGGGTCTACTTAGAGGTCTGGGGGCTGTGTTTCATGGTTCACAGATGGTGTGAATTATTATGCAAATAAGGTCAGCAATTTTTAAAGGACAGAAACAAAGTATAAGAAGAAGGAGAGCAAAAGGAAAGGGGTTTACCATCAAATATGTACCATAAATCACAGCCTAGATCTGTCTTCTGGCTATTTGGGGTTCACTATTTTCCCAGATGTCATTATTCCCATTTCTCTACACCTACCCATCTGTAGTCATGTCTCCCTCGTTACCACTCACTTTCCCATGACTTCCTAGTTTCTGTAATCTTTTCTGTCTTTTTTCAGCTTCTCTGGATCAGAAATATTTCCAGTAAGCATAGCTGAGAAGGGCTGAACCAGACATCTCTTTTCCTGTCTATATCTACAGCTAGTCTCACTTCGCTGAACTGAACACACAGTTTTTTCCTTCCTCATTTTTAACCCCTTTCCTTTTCTCCCTCCAATATTCCCATCCCCCTTACTCTAATATAGACTGCAACCTTACACTGGATTATGAACGTACTTTATATACATAATTTACGTAGGTATACTTACATATGACCTCTTAAGTGGTTGTGTAGCAGGGGCCTCAGGCCCTCACCTTCAAAGAATGACTGACTCCATATTCATTTTGTAACTCAGTGACCCTGTAATCTAACATTCTTTTAGATCAGAAACATCCAATCTACAAGTTTTCTCCTGTCAAGACTGTGGGTTGCCTGAGTGGCTCAGTGGGTTAAGCATCTGACTTTGGTTCAGGTCATGATCTCATGGTTGGTGAGTTGGAGCCCCACGTCAGGCTTTGTGCTGATAGCTCAGAGCCTGGAGCCTGCTTTAGATTCTGTCTCCCTCTCTCTCTGCCCCTCCCCCACTTACACTGTGTGTGTGTCTCTCTCTCAAAAATAAGTAAACATTTTAAAATTTTTTCAAGAGCAGAACATCAGGAAAACACTGAATTGAGAAGCCTTGTTCAAATAGGACTATCTTTGTTCATGTTTCTCAAGATCTAAGAGGTTAGCAGAAAATATTAACGCTGTCCTTTTTGTGTTGGATTGGTTGTGGCTTCTTATAGCACTTGCAATTTACTAGACCTTTGGAGCCAGGAAGTCTTTTGCCGCTATCTGAAGTGATTCAAAAGGGCAGGACACAAACTTTGCACTCAAATAAACCACACCTCTGGAGGAATTCAGCATAGGAATTTGGCACACATTCTTATTGCAATTGAACACCATTCCAGAATATCCAAAAGTGCCCCCAAAATCATAAGAACATTCTCTGACGAGACCAAATTCTAGCAAAATTCCAAATTGGTAAAGTGCTCCCTTCTCTCAGCAATCTCCAGGTATTTACTACCTATATCCTGACTATGCCCTGTTCTTTGAACCTCCAACAATGCTTTTACTGTCCCTGTAAGTCACCTGTTCTACTCTTTTGAAGACCAACCTTGCCCCCTCTGAGAGTAAATATCCAAGTGAAATTAAATTCTCATAATTTACTGTTTGACTTTGTATCACAGTAGTTTGGTACTTGATGTGAGCTGATTTGACAATGAGGTCTGCCACACCCCCTTAGTTACCAGACCTGTTTGATTAGACTAATCTGGTTGGCTGGGCCACAGTCCCTTCTCTCATCTTCTAAGTGTAATTTGTATCACAATTATTGATCTTACTATATTTCTCTTACAGAACTCTTCCAGGTTAGTGTTGCCAATCTGGCAAACTAACTTAAGCTAACTCTTCAGATGATAATAAGTACTTTTTGAATTGCCTCCTTTCTACAACATTTAAATTTATAGGAGTCTCCCAATGCTGAGAGCCAAAATAATTTCACAAAGTATGGCAGGTCTAACAAAATTATTCTGGGGTGCGGCGCATGGGTGGCTTAGTCAGTTTAGTGTCTAACTTCTGATTTTGGCTCAGGTTATGATCCCAGGTCGTAGGATCAGGCCCCATATTGGGCCGCATGTTGGGCTCTGCACTCAGCATAGAGTCTGCTTAAGATTCTCTGTCTCTCCCCTTCTGCCCCTCTCCCCATTCTTTCTCTCTCTCTCTAAAATTAAAAATTAAAAAAATATATATATTCTG